GTGTTGGCGTTGTGTTGGCATTATGTTTGTGTTGTGCTGGCATTATGTTGGCATTGTGTTCGTGTTGTGCTGGCATTGTGTTTTGTTGTGTTCGTGTTGTGTTGGCATTGTGTTGGCGTTGTGTTGGTGCTGGGTTGGCGTTGTGTTCGTGTTGTGTTGGCATTGTGTTGGTGTTGTGTTGGCGCTGCGTTGGCGTTGTGTTCGTGTTGTGCTGGCATTGTGTTTGTGTTGTGTTGGCGCTGCATTGGCGTTGTGTTGGCGCTGCGTTGGCGTGGCCTGCAGCAGCGCCCGGGGCCTTGCCTCACCTTCTCGTAGCGCGTCTCCATGCAGAGGAAGATGATGTAGGCCGTGGCGCAGGCCAGGCAGCCCTCCAGGTACGACTGGCCCCCGATCTTCTCCGCCTCGGCGTAGTAGTTATTGAGCGTCTTCACCGTGTCCTCGAAGAGAGTCCTCTCGATCTGCCAAACACAGCAGCAGAGGGCTTCAGCTCCCAGAATCTCACACACACACAGACAGACAGACAGACAGACACACACACACACACACACACACACACACACACACACACACACACACACAAACACTCAAACACTTATATTCCCCTATGTCCTTGCCATTCCTTGCCTTTCTGTGGAAGCAATCAGCCTGGTACCATCATCCCAACTTCCACACAGCATAGCTTCTCTAACATGTTGAGTCAGACATTGCAGGTTTTGGGTTGTGTCATGTGTTAATTTTAGGTGTTAAAAAGCTAGACTTCAACACACTAGTACTATTCAGCTTTATACCACACTGTATAGCGTTACCACCTGATGGTACTTCTGCAATCTGATACTATGGTATAAAGATTATATAATGTTATTATGACATAATATATATATAATTTTTTTGTCCATAATTTTGAGTAGAGAGATGCAGGTTCTTATGATGCACTGCACAGTGTCTTTAATAATAACAGTATTTTTAACTTTGGTAACCCAGGGAACAGGGTTCTTTTGGTTGTGCTCTAAAAATACGTCTTCTGTTTGAATCATTTTGAGTGGCTGAGATTCACTCAGCACTCTGCTGTTCCGTTAAACACTGGGGCAGAGTTGATTGAACCAAGTGGCTCTCCAATGGCAGTGTTTTTGTTGACGATCGAGAGATTGTAGAGGAGCTAAAAACCACCTATCTCAGTACACCTTTATCATGCAAAGGCACTTCAGGATAATTGCTCTGACACAGTCTCTGAATTTGTATTAGTTGAGAGGATATTACCTTCATAATACCTCCTCTCTCTCACATGCTTTTTTGTATTGATATGAAACCAGAGGAGCATACAGTAGTGTGGAATTTCATAAGCTGTGGGGAGTTTATGAGGTGCTTTGTGTGTGGATGGGAAAACTATCTTTTACATCTTGATCTGATACAGCGACCATTTCTTTCTATCCTTTCTGTCTCTCTTAGTTCACCCTCCTCATTCTCAGAGGGACTGTCTGTGCAGTGCTGTTTCCTGTTCGGCGTATGTCTGTGTGTGTGTGTTTCTGAAAGGCAGACACTCACCCGGCTGTCAAGTTCAGCGGGGAACTTGGTCTGGAATTTGCACACGGTCCCTTCAGTGTAGTCCCTCTGGATGAAGACCTTGGTGGCCAATGAGGCACTATGGTGCAGCACCTGCAGGTTGTGGAACTAGTAGAGTGAGGGACAGAGGAGAAAGAGAAAGCATAACTTGTCTGAGTCTGAAAGGACCTTCCAGCACCCTTGAAAACTAACTCATAGTTCAAGATGAATTATTAAAGTAAGCGAGGCCTTTTATGGGAATCCATTGATATTCAATACTTCCTTCACATTTAAACCCAGTCTCTTTGACTGCTGTGACTGTAATGGGGGAGCATAAGTTACCTTTGAAATTTTCCAGCTGATGAACTGAGTAGCAATGCATAGAGCTGTGATACACTGTAACTCTGTGGAAGACTGGGAGAGGTTAGCCACCCCCTTGTAAAGTGCCTGCTCTCCTTCCTCCAATTTCTGATAACTGATTGCATCATTGATCCACCCTTTGTGGTATGACAGGCAATAACATGGCTGTACACATTACATTACACCAAAACATATTACACCAAAACTAGGGATGCACCGAATCTCGATTTTTAGGGTTTGGCCGAATACCGAAACTAGCACTTAAGATTTGGCCAAATCCGAAACCAAATACCAAATCCCACTCATTTCAGTTACGCACACATAAATGCACTAAACACCAAGAACAACCATAGAATAAATAATCACAGATAAATGTTTATTGCAGTTATCATTTTTAATTATAATAAAAAAAGAGTGGGCTACCTATAACTTTTGCTAGGATTTTGCATTTACTTACCAAAAACAGCTGAATGCTCACACTTAGAAACACCACAATGTTTTCGCTTGAAAGTAAAGTCATCATTAACTGCAGCATACATGCTTTCTTCATTCATACAAAAACTTTAGGCACAATATTGAAAGAAGCATTAACTGAAATTTTTGCCTGTCCTTGCTGTGCAATACCTGTAGCTGCAACATTTTGGCTGCTGTCAGTGCTATTGCTAACTGCAGTTCGTGCCATACAAATTTAGTACTCTGTTGCATGTTTCACACGCAAATGTTTTAGCAGTTACAATGTTGTGTATTGTTTTGGGTCCTTGCCACCACGAGACAAATCAGCTTCACAAATTGTACATATGGCTCTACTTGAATTGCCTTCTTTTGACCTGAAATATTGCCACACAATACTTTTTTTGGTTGTGACTTCCATTTTTACTGTCCAGCTATACTACTGAACCGCCAAATGCAAGCAGCTTCCCATCATCACTTGCATCCACTCTCATAATGTTGAGGTGCGTAAAGTTTGGTTTGGTCGATAAAATGGTATAAGGTTCGGCCGAATCCGTACCCCTTCAAAAACGACAATATTCGGCCGAATCCGAAATCGAATCTTGGATTCGGTGCATCCCTCACCAGAACACTGTTAATGACTCTGCTCAGTTCACCCATCTGACTACCCTGAACCTGTTTCCAGCTAAACACTATCATCCCCTCAGAGTAAATGAGGAAACCCTCCTCAACTGTCACCAAAAATCCCTGAAAATTTACTATGCTTCTGTTAAATAAGTAACCTGCGAGCTCAGATAACTGCAAATAAAGCGAGACACCCTCCTGTGGTAATTGCACCTATTACAGTATCCCTCCCCTTGAGACGAGTATCATTTTCGTTTCATTTTCCATCAGTGTGTCTCTGCAACACTTAGCGCTGGGCCGTAGCTAATCTGTGCGTGAGGGTAACCTACACTGCGCTGCGGCCCTTCCGAGAGCAGCTTTCATTAACAGGAGCAACCCCAGACTCTTGTGATGAGCCCTACTTAAAAACCTGTTTAGGCACTGAAATCTCTGCATATCTGTGCCTAGGGAGTAGTGCCATCGAACGCGGGCCTGGTTCTGCCGTGTTCAAATCCACCGTAAGGGGCACAGCAATCTCACCAATGAGGCATGTCAAACACTCATCTCCATTTCAGTACCTGCTTATTCAGCATGAATAATTTTCCATGTTAATGTGTTAATAAGAAGGTACCTTTATAAGAAAAGGACACAAAGAAAAAATAGTCTTAACAAAGTGAGGTGAGAAACAAGTCAGTACAAATCTGACGATGACTGTCTGTCATGGTCTTACAGAGGCTAAAATGTATTACTAAGTATTTCTTTGGCAGAAGGATGGCATTGTATCACGTCATATTACATTTTATTTTTGTCATCTAACAGACACTCTTATCTAAAGTGAGTTACATAGGTTACAATTCTTACATGTTATCCATTTATAGAGCAGGAGTTTTACTGAGGCAGTTCTGGGTTTAGGATGTTGCTTAAGGGTACAGCAGCAGTGCCCTGATGGGGAATCGAACCAGCTAGCTTTTGGTTATGAGCCCTGTTCCTTACCACTACGTGACACTGCCACCTTGATATAAATGTTAACATTTCAAAATTGATCTCACTGTGCAGAGTGTGCTCAGGGTCTTTGCCTCCCCATTTGTGCACAGAAGAGGTTACTGACATTCACAGTGAGCTGATTACTCTGTGCACAAAAACAAAACTCTGGGTTTTTGCTCGCACCTGCAGCACGTCACAGTGCATTTAATTAGCCACATAAGATCAGCTTGTCATCAAAATCAATTAGCTACACAGCAGCCTAATTAGTGTAATCATCATAATTTCTTTGCTCAGCAGCGACCCTTTCATGCAGTGTGCGTGTAATCCATTTACAGAGCTGGAATAAAGGGCACAACAGCCCTCACCTGGGAATCACACCTGAAACTACAGCATCTAGTCATAAGTCGGGCTCTCAATCCACTATGCACTTCAGTGACTTAATTCTCAGTGACACTGAAATGATGCATATTCATTAAACAAGTCCTGGGACTGTCACAGTGTGACCGGTTCGATTTCGGTCAAACCGATGTTTTGCCGAGATGCATCCCCTCACATCGACGTGTGACTCGGTGTGCCGGGCTTGTCTGACTTCCTTGTCTGACGCCGCTGATCTGGAGTCAGTGACATAGGATCTCATTTGGCTTGTCAGAACCCCCCCAAACTAAAACAAACGATCTTGAGTTTTTTTTTTTTACATAGCTGCTGCTCAAAACATCAAAGCTTAATTACAGCAGCACTGGGGCGAGACAGCACCAATTAGCCAGCATTGACTCTCAGCCGGAGGGGGGTGGCGGTCACCCGGTCGCCTTGTGTGCCGCGGGCGTCCGACGCCAACACACTCTAGAGGGGTCCTGTCATCCGGAGCGTTAGGAAAAACACGCCATTGGGTGATAATGACACCTCTTCCGATCCCAGGCAGGCGGTAACGACATTGGCCCATAGTGCAGAAGCCAAGCCAGCGCCAACCTGCTGCCCAGCATGGGTTTGCAGAACTGGTGCCCCATGTTGTCTAAACAGAAGCAGACATTGTGTATAGTTTTGGCCAGAATAGCTAGAAATGGGGTGATAGTGTAGCATAGTGGTAAAGGGTATGGCTTATGACCAAAAGGTTGCTGGTTTGATTCCCCGCTAGGACACTGCTGCTATACCCTTGGACAGGGTACTTAACATTGCCTCAGTAAATATACAGCTGTATAAATGGGTAACATGTAAAAGGTGTAACCTATGTAAGTCACTCTAGATAAGACCATATGCTAAATGACAATAATATAAAAAATGTAATGTAAAGGGCAGAAGGTATTCAGAACTGCTGGTTGATTTCCAGCTTTATGATGTCATAGAAGGTCCAGAAAGTCTCATTGCCACCTCTTACTTGGTACAGCCCAACCCAAGAAGACTTTGTTTCAGACATGCGTGGACCAGGTCCCGCCCTGATGCTCTCTCTGGTCCCTCACATTGACCTGTATGGATAAACAGCTGAAACAGAACTGAAGCACAGCCACTCAGTGCTCACCAGGAGCTAGGCCTGAAAGTGGGATGCATGTGTTCTTTTCAGCATCTAAATAACAATTTATTCCTCATGGGCCTCTGCTTTCATTTGAACCCATGTAAAAAAAAAAAACAACAAATCCCGAGAGAACATCCTCCTTTCTTGGTACTAATGCCTTGTATGGATAGATAGTGTTTGAGGAGAGATGGAGAAGGGCTTGTGTTTCAGCTGCTCTCAATCTCCTTCCTTTGAGGGACTTTGGTGTAGCCAGGAACGTGGAGCCAAAGTCCACAGGGCTCAGTCTGCAAGGGTCTGCTCTGCAACCCTGCCAAACATGGCTGAGTTGTTGACGCTCCGAGGGACAGAGGATGAAAAACAATGTCTTCTGACTGAATGCAGCACATTGTTCTGGCAACAAGTGACATGATTGGTCACTCTGCGTCATTTCGCCATCTCTCCACATGTTACATTTAAGGCATGTGTTCAGGTGATATGCTCCACATGAGATATATGTCCTCCTGAACAGGCCAGTACATTGCAAAACGTATCCAGTTTGTCATACATTCTGGCCAATTCACTGGATGATTGTTGGTGTTCCTATATAACACATTAGATTGACAGGAGCATTGTGTACACAGGTTTCCATTGGACTAGCGATATTATTCATGCATCAGTGTGGGAGTAGCATTCTGTAGTCAGTGATCCTCTGGAATGAACTTGTAATGGCGGTGGCATGTCTTTGACTTACCTCTGACCTTTGACCTTTGAGCATGGACCCAACTCCTCACCAGCACAACTCTTGAGGTCATGGAGGCACTGATGCCATTGAAAGTAAAATGTGCCATTCTACAGAAATGAATGAATGAAAGAATGTCTACTGTGGCTCCAGTCCTGAGAAAGGAAGCCAGTCTTTCTGCATTGTGTGTAATGTGTTGCAATGTGGCACTTTGACCTTTGATCTTCAGTAACAAAGCTAGGCAAGTGTTCCATTTTACCGATTCTTATGCATCAGTATGAGTTAGTCAGTTACTGAAATGAATTAAAATGACTGTGAATTGAGTTCTACTAACATAGAAAAAGGCACACACACACACACAAATACACATAATCCCTCTTGCTTAAAATCATTGCTTAAAGTAAACTGTCTCTCTTACATGCAGGTTGCCTGTGTGTCTGTTCTGTTCACAGATTGTCAGACAGATTGTACAAGAAGATGCCCTTAAGAACTGTTAATCAGAAGTGCATTAGTATCCCCTCACAGCATATTAAAATGCCATTTTTATCCCGTTGGGAGGTGTGTTTGTCCTCCAAATGGGTATTGGGTGTATTTTAATTAAACTGAAGGACTGGGGAACACACATAAATGCTTAGTGTGTAAAGTATCTAATGAAGCAGAAAGAGACTTCATTAAGTTAATTGTACTGGAATATTGGATTTTGCTATTATGACAATAGCGAATGACTCAGCCATCACACCGAGACGTGAAAACATCAGTTAAGCAAGTTCAGATGAAGGGTATGTCTGTTTGGAGACAAAAATAATCTCTGGGAAAATATAGCTTCACAGCTCTGCTGCTACAGAGGCTGTTTTAATGATCGCCGATACGTCTTGACAAGTATGCTGAGTTTTTTTTTTTTTTTTTTAATAATTTCGTTTTTCTGCTCTGCTCCCGTTTAGGGTCACACGTTTCGCGTAACTCGGGCGAGACGCTCTCCTTGGCTTTCAGCTTCGCCCCACAGATGTTCTGAAGGAGCTCAGTTCAAAACAACATCACGGCTCTGATCTAAATCTGGACCAGGCTGAGAAAACAAATCTCACATGCGCTGGACGTCTGCCTCCCAAAATAGACAGTACTGAAACAACAAACAGTAATTACGGTGGACGGTAACTGCTTCCTTAAAACCCGGTTGCAACTGAAAATGTATTTATGCTCACGGTGTGTGTTTTCAAAGCCCACACAATGGTTGTAGGCCTGTAGGACCTCCAGCAGAAGAACACACGCAAAGTTTGGGAGGTCATGCTAATGGGGGAAGTACTGAAGAACACAGCCGTCTCTCTGTCACTCAGCTTATCTCTCTTTCCCTCCAAATCTCTGAGCTCAAGCGCAGCTTAGCTCAACAGCCATCACTTCAGCATGACGGGTCCCCAGTTTTGACAGGCTAACTGGCACGTGCCCGGAAAGAGAACGCATGCATTGAGACCATGAGCGTATGTCACATGCTGCCTGGCTCTGCCCCCCTGAAGCGCATGCCATCAGTTCCTCCGACAGGTCATGACAAGGCATGCTCTACTGCAGCTCCTTCAGAGAGTGACAATCACTCCCCTGTTACAGAACAATGTGGAGACAACATCCGCAACATTGCTTGTTCAACTCCCCGCTGGGGCACTGCTGATGTACCATTGGGCCAGGTACTCAACCCAGAATTTCCTCAGTAAATATCCAGCTGTATAAATGGATAACATGTAAAAAATTTGAAAAAATTGAAACCTATGTAAGTTACTCTGGATAACAGCACCTGCTAAATTCCAATAATGTAATGTAATGTAAAGGTAGGGCAAACTTGCTATTCAAAATGTCCAGAATACCCAATAGCCACCTGAGGATCACTAAAAATGAGACTTTACTTTTCCCTCCTGTACCGTACCCCGTGCAGAGTGAGTTAATCAGAGTTCCATTTGCTCATGTAATATGCCCCAAGTGAAATACATATCCCGCAGAACAGGTCAGTATGCGATGACACTAATGCAGTTTTCCATGGATTTTGGCCAATTCGCTTGATGGTTTTAAGTGTTCCTGTATCCCACATTAGATTGTCAAGAGCATTGTGTGTATTTCCGTTGGACCTACTGTTATTCAGGCACCATTGTGAGAGGAGTATTCTATAGGCTCAACAATTCTCTGGACTGACACATTGTAGGACCGACCTCTGCCCTTTCATCTTTGACCTTTGACCAGGGACCAAGACCACTACTAGCACACCCCTCAGGCCATCAAAGTTAAAACAGTCTGCTCTACAGAAACTTTCACAGGAAAGTTGACTGTAACTCCAGTCATGGCTGAGGAGGGCAGCCTGAATTGAGTGATGTGTTGCAGTGAAAGCCAGAAGGAAAGTGGTACTAAGAGGACATGGGCAGTCCTGTGGACAGGCAAGACACTTTGTGGATGACCCCTTGCTCCACAGAGGGTTCAAGGGTTTAAAAAGAAAAGAGCTTCAGAGGGATGGTGTCTGCTAAGCAGGGCTCGAGGGCACAGTTGCTTTCAACCCAGACTTCTCTACTTCCCGCATCATTGCCAGGGATATTTGTCCTACTCTGCAGAGCATGAAAGGTCTGCATAAAAAAATCCATGAGTGTTAGGCCTTTGAAAAGCAAATGAGCCGTTGATCTGAGACACCCCTCTCTGAACACGACCAAAGCCTCCGGATTAACGTCCGCAGCAAATGGGTGATTAATAATTGATCAGGCTCAGACCAGAGCGGCCGTGTTCGGCGAGGGTCAGGAACTGCTGCGTGACTGCGCTGCTGTCAGCAGGTGAACACCGCCTACTGCACCCCCCCCACCCCCCACGCCCCCGCCTGCCAGGACAGCACTGGCAGCGTAATCAATTGGATCGATGCAGCCGCTCCGAACACTGTGCTGTTCAGCCGCATTGTGCCAATTACTGTACAACAGGCGCAGAGGGAAAACAATTCACAGCATGTGGATACATCCCTATTAAAAGCTATCCTGAAATAATTAATGTTCATTTTGAAGAAAAAGTTGCTTATTATAACCACTGAGTGTATTAAAGGAAGTGCACATCTGTAGAAGAAAGTCTATTCATTACAGCAGTTGCGTGTGCTTCCCTGTCTAATAATGGTTACACAGAAAGAAAGACCATAATACATGACAACAGTGAATGATGCAGTTCTTTTCATAATAACACTTACACCTGGTCAGTATGTATTCTGGCCAAAAAGAGTTCTTCCAAAGGCAAACCTGACCTGATGTAATTATTTCACAATAGAGCAAAACAAAAACTCTGTTGCTTTGTTATTAGAATGAATTGTTATTCTATATATTAATCAACTAAGTAAAAAACTCTACTGACAAAAAATGTGATAGAATGATATGCCAATACATGCAGGAAGCTGCCCGGTCTAACATTGTATCTAAAACACAGTTATCTGTGTGTTGTCCAATGACTCATTGACTTGCTATAATAAGGAGCTGGTCTTCTGTGCTGCAACCACAGACCGAGGAGGCATTGATCTACTAAAAGGTACAGTATATCAAACCAGCTTTCTTCAGGGCAAGCCTCTGCTCCGTGTTCTCTCTTTATACTGTTCCATGTAATGATACAAAGACCTGTAATGCTGAGAAAAGGGCAGAACAAAGAATCCTGGGGATTGCAATATACTTATGCTTGTTTTACAACAGTGTCCAGAAATAGCCTGCTCTTTATGAAGTAAAGAGAGGAATGATAATTATGTAGAGTGTTCAGTAAGCCATTAATCAAAGTCTCTCTGACTGCGTTGGAAACTGGCCTAATTGCTGTCATATTTCCACAGAAACACATTTGTGTAGTTTGTGTCACGATACTTCACAGTGTACCCAAATGCTGGAGGTACGCCAAGAGAGCTTTGTAAAGCCACGGAGCAAAAAC